TCTGTACATGTCTGATTTTAATGAGTCTGGTAATTCACCCACAAAAATTTTCCGGAACGTGATTTTTAGCAATTAGATCGAAGGATCAGGTGTAACGTAAAATCAAAACAATCGAAATAAGCGAAAGATTTTAAAGTAATAAGCTTCATCTTTAGGGTTAAGAATGAGGCCGAGGGAGGACATAGCTTATACCAACATTTCACAAGGAATTTTTTTTTGTTAGAACGCAGCGCAGAAGGCAGTTTTATAGAGTTATTAGTGATTTTTTAAAAAGACGTGATTTTCACGTTACACCTGATCCTTTTATCTGAGTTACAGGGGTTGATTATAATTTACGTAATTGATTTAGGCAGTTATACTAGAGGGTCACCCAGATCATTTTAAGTACGGATTCTAATTATTTGTCTGATTATAATTTACGTAAATGATTTAGGTGGTTATACTAAAAGGGTTAATAAAGACCCAAAGTTTAGTTTTTCTTTTGCCATTACTCATTCAAGTTCATTCAAGTTATAATTTCAATTTGTCGCGATTAAGTTCTAAATCCACATTCATTGAAATTTCATGCACAACGCATATATAGAATATAGAATTATTTCAATAGAAAGAAAAAGGTGGGCGGAATACCAAAAATTTAGTAGATATAGATATTAACTAATTATAATACAATAATACTATAACAGTCTTTATGTGCGATCTCTAACTAACCAAACAAACCAAACAAATGTTTAATTTCAATAGTCGGATATTATCCTCTAATAAATATCGCCTTTTCACCCCCTACTATTCCCGCACGTCCTGTTTTTGTTTCCTGATAGTCAAGACCTAGAAGCTCATCAGTAAAATCGAAATGCAATAGAATAACGTCTATTGAACGTCATAATAGTAATTATCAGCAATTTAAAAAAATTTTTTAAAGATAAAAAAGTTAAAACTAAGTACACATACCATCATCATCTACGTATATATACTCAGGATCGACATCATCTTGTACAACTGCAATTTTAACTTTTGAAAAATCTTTTTCATTCATTCCTAAACGTAATTGAAGACGCAACTTTGTCTGAGAGAAAGGTTCATCCTGATTATATTAAAAAAACGTAAAAACCATTAACATAAAAAGTGTAATTGATCATTTGAAAATTGTCATTTAAAAAGATACTAACAGCTTTAAGAACAAATTTGAATGGAATTCCATGCGCGCATAATGTCTCTTTAGTAAAGTGAAAAACTTGAATTATTTTATCATCAACATATAGTTCCAATTCTTCTTGTGGTATTTCCTAAATATGAAATACATAAAAAAAAATATTTGAAGTTGCATGAAAAATCTCATGAAAATGATAATTAATGAAAGAACAAACCTCTGCGTATAATGTTACTTGATCCGGTATTTTATCTATTGGATCATCAAAATTATATTCATTTTGAATTTTAAAACTATCAGTATCATATAATCTAATTCTACTAGTAGGTATTGGCAATGATAGTTTTTTTACAATTTCGTTTAAAATTTCATTAATTATTGCATCCTTTGGAATAAGAACATCAATCACTTCCTTAAAAAAAAAAAAAAAACTAATATTAATTAATGTTCTGACTAATATCGAAATATTATAGTGCTTCTTTTTACCTCTTTCTTAATAGTTGTCCCGAGCCAATATACTTTGAACAACATATTATTTTCTAATTCTGTAATATTAATGTCGAGTATCTCATAATACAAAAGACGTGGTGTATTGGGCAGATAGATTGTTTGAAGCATCTCTGACAATGTTTGGTTGGCTACTCTTTTGAGTACAGCTTTGTATGTACCGGTCGTTGGATATGCCATTCCCAATTGTAATTTCGAAGGATCAGTGTTTAAAAAATCAGCAGCATGTTTAGTGACCTATAAATGTATAAAGAATATAAATGTATAAAGAAATGTATAAAGAAGATATATATAAATTAAATAAATTATTAAATTCAAATCATATTAAACATTATATATGTTATTTTTTTTCAAATCTTTATATGAAACTTCGTACTTCATCATATGTATATTTTTTATTTAAAGTTAACTCGAATTCAGATTTTGGTTCACGATCTTTATGCCTTGGCTTAAATCGAACAACAACACGCATCAATAATGACTCATAGAATAGAGGAATATCACAAATATCACGATAACGACTAGCAGGAGTATAATCTTGTGTTTTAACTAGAGGCTTTCTAAATTGAGGCAAAAAAAGTTTTTATATAAAAAATTCATTACATTTTGCATGAGACAAGATCAAGTTAATAAATAACTTACGCTGATTTCGTTAAAGCTTTTTGAAAGCAAATTATATCACCATGTTGTATCTCAGATTGTTGAAACGTCAATTTGGGTTTCATTTCTTCAATCATGTTTGGTTTTATTTCCTATATTTTAATAAAATTAGATTTGTTATTATAAAATTATATATTTATTAAATTTGTTATTATTATCAACAAAAAAAATTATATATGAAAAAATATATCTTACTTCGTATATTTTCAAGAGCCTGTATGGTGGTAAGTTCATTTTTTCGCAAAGAATTGGAATGATATCACCAACTTTATCATACTTTTGAATATAGAAATAACATACTCCTCTGTTTACATAGCCAGAAAAGATTAATTTTCATGTTAAATGAATTTATATCAAATAAATTAATAATGTTTTAAATCACATACTTTAGAGATTGTTTATCAGGATCAAAGTACTTAATGAAAACTAATATAGAAGAACTATCTTCTTTTGGGAACCATTCCTACGTTTCAAATAAATAACAATTTAAATAGTAAGAAAATATATGTTTTTTTAATAACATATATGTAATGAATTATTAAATACTAGGCACTACTTTGCCGTTAATTTGTTTATCTGCCACCTCCAAAAAAAATTTCAGTTCATTAGATGACGGCACAAATTTTTTGTGAATTTCTTCCATAGCTATTCATCATAAAAGTTAATAAAAAAGTTTAATATGTATAATATTCATAATATATATATAATATGAAATGAAATGACTGTGTATTTTACACATGACGCAACGCACTCATGCCAAGAAAATCGTCTGTTAATGGAACATCTGGTCTAACAGTTTTATTTTGACGATTTATAAGAGGCCAAAATCTTATTTGCTCGGTTGGAATCCCGACTTTTTGAGAGACCATAGCTTTGAAAGCCTTATATGTATCACTTTTTAAAACTTTAAATTGCTGAACTTCAGAAATTGGATATTGTCGATCATCAAGATTTGCGAGATCAAACCCTTGATGAGACGTAAAGGTATCTAGAGTAACGATCTTAATGGTAAAAGTTGTTAAACTTGAACTGCTATCTGCTATGAATAATAAATTGATCATTAATTACATAATATCATTAAGTAGTTACCTTAGTAGAATAACGTTCTTCGGCTTCTTTTTCTTTCTGCTCATGTAAAGCTTTCTCTTCATCAAGGCTTTTTTCTATTAAACGTGTACGTACGCAAAAAATAAATTCACAATGTAATTTCAAACTATAATATCAATGAGATCACTCACTCATATGCTCTGGTATATCTTTATCAAGTATAGGAGATAAAACAAAGTCGATATCGGATTCACGGATATATATCAAACTACATGCAGTTTCATTTATAAATAAATTAGGATCTTTTCCTCCGTAATTATTTTCAAGTACTTCTTTATCTATTACAGGTATAACTTTTTCATCTTCAAATTTGAACCTTTTATAAGTATAATAATTAATGTTGGTTATCTAATATATTATTATTTCAATCTAATTTATTGTTAAAATTCTGACCATCTGCCATTCCTTTCTGGCTTTAGAAAAATATAATAAGCGCCTCCTTGGAAATCACCAACGTGAACAATTACTCTAAATAATAATAAAAAGGTATTAATATATTTTGAAAGCCATATATAAACATATATATATATATATATACTGTATATATATATATATGTATGTATGTATGTAAAGAATATTGAATCCACAATTACTCAATTTACACACCCATGAAG